TGAAGAAGTGCTGCAGTCACCCAGCAGCAAAGCCAAGAATAGGAATATAGGTCAGGTACAGATATTATACTTTTACTGATATATGTGATTGGAAAACAGTCTATACCCATAACAGAACACAAGTTTAGCACACATAGACTGGTGTAAAAATGGCAGAACCCAGTCTAAGATTTGTGCCTCTTCCCCAACAAAGGGTGAATGTGTGTTCTGTTTGCTACTGTAGCAGAAAGCCCTCTTTTCCTCTTGTCTGCATTTGCTCTCCCCTCTTTGGATATGTTTCTCTTTTTCTACCTTTTCTTCCTTCCTCTCTCTTTCACTTTAAGATAAGGAATTGTGTTTTAAAATTTGTATGTGTGCATTTTGTATCTCCCCTTGTAGTTTGGTATTTTTATCTATTTGTGTGCCATGGCATTTGTAGCTTGTATTTTATACTCCTCACCTTTCTACTGAATGTATTTAGTTTCATAAGTAAGTTATACATTGTAACAATGTTAACAAGGGCAGGAATCAAACTGCCCTTCCCTGTATCAGGCTGGCCCCTGAAAGAGCGAGTGAATCAGTGATTGAATGAGTAACGTGTTTGGATGTGTAACATAGTAGCAGCCAGCAATTATCACCTGGAAGCTGCAGATCAACCAGCAGAAGAACTCAATAGAGGACAATGTAACAACCGGGAAATCTCTAAACATCACTGATCAAGGGCTAGAAGCCCTGGCCTCAGTTAATCAACGCCAGGGACCAACTTTTGGGCTGAATATCTCCAGATCGACCACTCCCAGAGCCCTATTGTAAATTCATCAATGGACTCCCAAACCTGCACATACATGCGGACGACCCCTGGGGCTGACAGATGCCATCCAGTAGCCACCGAGGGAGAAGTCCCACGAGGGTCAATGACCCCTGGATTGGGCAAACCTGAAAACTGGGGAGTCACCAGAGTCTGCCAGGGACAGATAAAAGGCAGTGAAAAGTGACCCTCAGTAGCGCCCTCTTGATCTCCAACTCGACCAGACCTGTCCAGCCAGAAGGCCCAGCCAGCGACCCCCTTCTGGAAGATAACACCATGCTGAAAGAAGCCTCAACGACATACTCCAGCGCTTGTAGGATAGGTATACCTGACTCTGTAGCCTGTTACTGTGTGTGTGTATGTGTATGCATGTGTGTGTGTGTGGGGACCAGCCCCAAGGTTTATGATTTAACTCATTACAGTGTTTCAATCCGCCTAATAAACTAGAATTTTAAGGATCCCGAGTTGGACATTTGTAGCCAACACTACCAATCTAAACTACACTGCTTATGGAAAACCATGCAACTTCGATCAATTCTGCCTCAGGCTTTTTGAACGTCTGTATTTAGCCATAATGCCCCAATCCTAGCCCTGTGCTTTCTTCATGAGGTCATATGGTCTAACACATGGTAAAGAATACCAAATATTATTTATTATATGCTATATAAGAAAGACATCTGCAAGAAATAAATACTGACTAGTGTTACTAATGTACTCTCCTGACTGGTGACATAGTGACTATGTCTGCAACTCCTACTAACAATCACCAGGCAAAATATCTCCTCAGTGTTTACTGTTTTTACATTAGCAAGGGTAGGACAAGGAGGAGTATGATTCACTGTGGCCACATCTAGATGAGATGCTACTGCATTGGGGGACACTAACCACGACATGATGCTACCGCACAGTAGTAACAAGCTACTGCACATTGCTACTGCATAGCTCATTGCTACTGCACAGTAGCTTCAGAAAAAAAACTATGCGGGGATTTTACTATGCAGTAATGCCAGTTACTATGCAGTTATTTAGTACTTGGTTATGCAAGTATTAAATGACTGTGCAGCAACAACTGCATAGTCTGCCGGTTGTATAGACGCGGCCTGTGTGTAGCTGAATGTGTTATGCATTGAAAATGTACGTCAGCAAAGTGAGTGCTGTCTGCTGCACAAAAGAATTGTTCCCTTCAAATTCAACAGGGCTAGGACTTTGTCTTCAAACCTGCAAAGAGCCTAGCCCAACATCTGTGACACCAATAAGCAAATCAATATGATGGCCAGCTCATACCCTGTATGTAGAAAGGACCTTTCACATACTGATCCCATGAAGACAGAAAATCAGCTGGGGTTCAGCCTTAGGATGTCTGTGGAGTGGAGCAGGTGGGAGAGCAGGAGAAGGAGGGGAACTGGCATTGGGTAGGCTAGTTATTGAAAGCCTGTGTTGGCTTGGAACAAACTGAGATCAACAGTACAACATAGTGATAACTGCCTAGTGATACTGTCATCTCTGGCTCATGCTAATCTAGCTAGCTCTCCTGACTGTCTATAGGAAAGTGTGGTGATACATTAAGCACAGCTAGTCTATTTAAGTTTTGAATGGCCCCAGCCAGCATCAGAGAACCCTAGAATAATTTGGGTGCCAGGGTTGCGGACCACTTTTGCCTTGCAAGAGTCCTCTGTTACAACATGCCATGTGATCTAGAGATCTTAAAAAGTTTTGAGCTATTGAGAAGCAGATGACAATCCAGAATGTAAGATGTACTAGACTCCATGTTATAGACCTTATTGCTGCATTTTCTCAGCAGACACGCATGTTCAAAACTGCTAACAAAAAACAAAAAAACAAACCCCCCCGCCCAAACCCAGCAGAAACCGCTTGGAAGTTTAAATCTTGGCCTCCCTGAAGTTAACAGCAAAACTCATTGACTTCACTGGGCTCAGGACTGCAGCCAGACCACAGTTTAATTTGGCCAGCGAAATTCTGAAGTCACTTTGGAGAGAGAGGCTATATTCTCAGTTTCAATTTACAGTGGCAGAAACTTTCTGCACTTGAGATGGACAGAGAAGTAAGAGGGTAGAGCAAGGAACCTTTTCACAGCAGATTCTACTATCCTTACCTGTCGCAGACAGTATTAAGAGGCCTACTCAACAAGTAAGGTACAAGCTAACCAAAGTAAAAGTGTTAGAACTCAGACATTGACTTTACTAAGCTCCTACAGACACTGAAGATCATAGGTATCACATGGTCCCTTAATGCAGAGTAAATTGTAGGGGCAGGGACTGATTTCCCTGCATGTTGTATAAGACATCAAAAAACATTATGGATGCTAAACAAATAAGCTAAGTACAGATGGTCCAAAAGCCCGAGGCTGAATTGATTCAATCTTCATAGGTTAATCTAAGTTGTACAGATTGAACAGACATTCACTTTTGATTCCAGAAATGCAGCTACATGTCTGCAGTGGCTCAGGCCAGAAGCTTAGGTGTGGGGGGGACAGGGACGGACACACGACACTGAAGCAGACAGCTTGAGCCAAGGCTAGTCCACTTAGCCTGGAGAGGGTGGGGGTTGCAGGGGAGGTGCGAAGCAACCTTGGGTGCTGGGGGACTATGAGTTAACTTGAATCTGGAAGAGATCTGGGATGGAAGTTCAATACATCAATTTAACCTAAATCAGTAAAGTCTGATACTACTCTCATCCAGGTTTTTCTAAAATCGGTTTCAGCAATTTTGAAAGCAGTGTACGCACACTGAACTTCTTTTGTGTTACAGATTTGAACCAGTTTTCAACCACTTATACTACTTTCTGTGTAATTTCTGTCCTTGGCTATAAAAATAATATGTTTTAAGAAGAAGGAAATCCAAATGACTGTAACCCATCAGTTTTGGGAGTACAGAGTCACAGCCAGTGACTGTCTTGAATTCTACTAGCATGTGTAACATAACCATCTGCAGTACTGAGCTAAGATTTGGTACTAGCCACTGCTGTTTAGAAAGAAGTTCTGTCCACTTGTTATTGCGCTGAACCCTGCATCAGCATTTTCAACACAGCATGCCTGGGGAAAGGTACTTTTACATAGGATTCCACAGGATATGTCATTATTCTACAGGATGGTAGGAATTACCCAACCAGATGAGCCTAGTGGTCCATGAAGCCCCGCATTCTGTCTCCAACATTCTGCATTGCTAATTCCTGAGCAAGACACTGTTCTGCATTACACTGCCTTTAAACAAAGTCACCCCAATAAATGACTTAGATCCTTAAGTTTATGAAAAGTGGTTCCTCAACATTTTCCTACACAGGCATTTTTCTTTCCATACTTTCTTATTTTGCCTGCAGCAAATCTGAAACAATATACCATAACCCTTGCTCTCTCACTCTCCCTGATCACAAATATTAGAGATCCTTCCCCCCAAATAATATCTATCTATCTATCTATCTATCTAACACAAATCTTCAAGCACAAGCTAGTGCTGACCAAGACAATAAATATAATCTATACTTAGATTTGATTCTAATTTACAGACATAACTAACCTAGACCCAAACAAAGCTGATGTGGACTCTTACACTTCAAGGGATTGCCGATGGCTAAGCAAAAGGAGTAAAGTGAAAAACTATGAACTCTGCAAGAAATGTGAATTTTTTTTCAGGGACAAGCCCTGATCCTTGAGCCAAGGCTGAAAATGTGGTTGATTCTGCAGGATCTGGCATGGCAGAGAGGTGTTCCTCTCATACAGGCCACGAGACCAAGTTCCTCCATAAGTTCAGCTTCATCAATCACAGAGTAACTGCCAGTCAATCCAGTTCCACCTATTCCATGACTGGAAATTTTCCTGTGTGCCCCACAGCACCATGCAGAAGCAGTCACCATTGGGATCCATAATGCAGCACCACCAGGAGGGAGGGAGGAAAGGTCAAGACAAGTTTAAAAATAACAATTCTCCTGCAGAAATGCACAGCATACTGTGGAAGCGCTAAATATTTCAGGACGAGCACAGTATTTTCACATCTGTCTGAGGAACGGAGAACATGAAACGCATCCATTCATGGTGGAATTCTTTTATGTCAATGGAACTAATCTGCTCTGATGAGTGGCCTTGAATGACAGGGTGTAACTCTCTTTGTGGTGGCTCTGATGCATACAGAGATGAAATTCACTCACACCTATGGCTATATAATTGTGCATGTACACAGAGACTGTGTTACTGACTCACCCTTAGAAGGCGGCCTCTCCAGATCTGAATCAAGATGAATTGGTGGAGCAATATAGGAAACTTGCCCATGATGAGCCTGCCCTGTGGACAAATCAAGGGTTTTAGTTTCTACCACGTCCTGTTCAGAGAAGAAGGAGGATTTTAGTTAACCAGGCCACAGTCTTAAAACATTACAATATTAATAGGTTTGGAAACATATTACTTGATTATGTATTTTTTCTTGCCCATAGAAATTCATGATTAAAATTAACTTCAGCTTTAAGAATGCCTCTGACCTCTCAGAAATCCACTACATCTGGGGATGTTTTGTTTCTTCCACATAGACATTTGTTGAAATTTTAGCATTAGTGCTTATATTTCCTCCACACCAGGCATGTCTACACATGCAATTAATGTGACTGAATAAACTCTGGTGCAACTTGGACCAGAGTAAATGAAACCCAACATCACCACCTACACGTGCATTTAAGTGCAGTAATTTACTCCGCCGTTGGAAAGTACCCATGTCTGACAGGAATATCTGACCGCACTGTAAATTAATCTACACCAGCGCAATTGCCACACACATGTAGATGATGACATTTTAGTATGCAGTAAATTAGTATTCTGAGCAGCAAAGTGCACATGTAGACACACCCACCTTTTAGCAAACAACAACTCGCCTTCCTTTCTCATCACTGTGTTTCTCCTTGGATCCTGTCTGAATTGCTTGAGAAAAAGGCTACTTGCAGTGTCATGTCCTCTTACAAGGAGTTTCCATGACATATGCTTAGCATTTCAGTCCTGAAAGGCCATCCAACAGGCTAGCTTGACTCCAAAAGGGAAATGCATAGTGTCATTCTTTTGGGAACTCTTCAAACTATATGGAGTCATTTACAATGACAAACAGTGACTTGTCAGTTGGTCTACAGGAGACACAATTTTTTGCCTGTACAGTTTACAGTCATGCTCCTCAGAAAGGAAGCTGTTTAATTCTCAACATTTCAATGCCATTTCTTAGTTGCTAAGGATGTTGTTCTCCAGCGGATCAAAAAGTAAGCATTTATACTGAGAAACTTTTATTTATAATAAAAACATGTTGTTATAATTCATCTATTTACTGTAACAATTTACAAGGCTGTTAATCTCTTTTTCTAAACAAGGAAAGTTAATGATACATAGATTACGATAACAGCTAGAGTAACCTTCCCATTTCAAGTAATATTCGTGCTGTAATAAAAGCAGTTGATTCCTCTTATGAGGCACATTCCAAATAATTAATATGGCTCCCTGTTAACATTTGCTGTTGCTCCAAGCAGTTTTCCAGCTAGTGTCATAGAGAGTAGAGAATTGGTACTTTCTTTAGAGTTCTTTGTAATGATATCCTAGAAGAGTGTACTATGCTGGTACAAGAAATATACTGAAAACATCTCTTCAGGGGTATAAAACATTAAATGCTAAAGGATACTGTCTGCATGGACAGGATATATTTACTGCTTAGCACTTAGCCTGACTCAAGCAATTTGCATTACTAGTCACTACAATAACTGAACATTATTTGGGTTTAAAATCTATTGGTATGCCATACATTTTATATTTGCTTTTTAAGTGTTTTAAGATAGGAAATTTGCTTCAGGCAAGCCTGTGACAGATAATACGTGAAGGTGCCTTCCCATTCTCATCTACATGTTTAAATCCCAGCTGATGCCAATAGTTAACAGAAGTCATCATTTTGACAACTGCTCAGTCAGGGTTGGAAGGGACCTCAACAGATCATCAAGTCCGACCCCCTGCCTAGGCAGGAAAGTTTGTGACCATTGTTCCTTGTTACCCCAAGAGGTGCCCTGGTGAACAGAGCATCTCCGATCCCTTGCTGTGTACCCGTAATGAATTTGTAGGTGGCCACAAGATCAACTCTCAGTCTTCTCTTGCAGAGGCTGAAGAGGTACAGGTCCGTCAGTCTCTCCTCACAGGGCTTGTCCTGTAAGCCCCTAACCATATGAGTGACCTTCCTATGGACCCTCTCAAGTCTATCAACATCCTTCTTGAAGTACAGTGCCCAAAACTGGACTCAGTACTCCACCTGTGGTCTGACCAATGCCACATAGAGGGGAAGTATCACCTCCTTGGATCTATTTGTCACGCATCTGCTGATGTATGATAAAGTGCAGTTAGCTTTGCTGAGGATTTCCTCACACTGATGACTCATGTTCATCTTGGAGTCCACTATGATTCTGAGATCCCTTTCCACTTCTGTGCTGCTGAGAGGGTCACTTCCCAGCCAGTAGGTGTGCTGGATATTTTTGCGCCCTAGGTGCAGCACTCTGCACTTGTCCTTGTTGTACTGCATCCTATTGTGTACTGCCCACTTTTCTAACCTGGCCAGGTCTGCCTGCAATCATTCCCTACTCTACAGATTGTGCACTTCACCCCACAATTTAGTATCGTCCACAAACTTGGACAGAGTACACTTCACACCCACATCCAAGTCATCTAATAATATTTGAAATGTTGTAACTCCCTCCCCCACCCTGGTGCCTTCATATTTAAACATACAATTTAAATTTATGGTTTGCTATTACTTGACAATGGCCCTGCTTAGGGGGAAAAATGGTCTCCAAGAAGATATCGAAGTGATGATGTACACAAATTCTTGTGCTGTAACTGTATAGAAAAAATTCTGTTTGCAGTCACACTGGTGTAAATTAAGACTAATTCTACTGGAAGTATTAATAAACTCTTCTTCCAGTTTAGCGTGAGTGCAGGGGCAGGACCCTAGGAGTCAAGAGAGATGGCTTTCACATGCAACATCAGAAGTTGCAGGCCAAAATCCTAGGAAAACCCTGGGAGTAAAAGTAAAAGTAAAAGTGATAGGAACTTTTATTTCAGGATGTCAGATTAAATGACCACAGTGGTCCCTGCTGGCCTTCCTAAAGACACTTGGCCTTTTCCATTGACTTCATTAAGAACTAGGAATGAACTCTATGAAAAAGGGTTAGAATCTGAAGGTGGAATCCCAGCACAGTCAAATTCAGTGACAAAACCCCCTATCACTGTCATAGGGTCAGGATTTCACTCAGAATACTAACATTTTTTAATCTTTACCCCTCTAACACTTAGATAAAGGACCAGAGGCCAGATTCAAAATGGGGTTAATGCATTCTCATAGCCTCTTACTCTGAATTTATTACACCTTTCCTCTTATGTGCTGCCCAAATGGTTATGGGCACATGAAGGACCATGTGCATCAGCATACATTTATGCATATTCTTAAAGTGAGCATACGGCTGATTGGACTTCTGTAAAAAGGCACAGACACTCATAAGGCACCCAACTGGTCCAGTTAACTAGACATCCCTAAAGAAAGCTCACCTGACAGCACCATGTTGTGGCTATTAGGAAGTCCGTGTTTCCATCAATCAGACTGGCTTCTTAGCACAAAACTCTAACATAAACATGGATGTGAATGTTCTCATAGTATGTGGGGCACTTATGACCTTCATTGTGATCTTCCCAATGATTAGTTTGGGCAGCAATTCCAAAAGAAACAGACTGTTTTCCACTGAATACAAGCTTGGTTTGGCCACCTATAGGGGACTTATTTTTCTGTCTGGTCACAACTTTCTGCAATTGCATTGATAAAGGATAAACATTATGTATAAGCCAGTACATGTGTCCTTGCATTTCTAGCATGGACATTCTCTTGGAGTAGTACATTAGGGTAGCAATTGTTCCTGAAAGTTAACTGTGTGTGGGAAGTATCTAAAGTTCATGTCTTCAAGGATACAACAAAGGCAGAAAACATTTTAGAAGCATTAGAAATGGCATTTGTAAGGAGAAAGGCCAAAAAAACACCCATCATGAATGATGAGACAGGCATACCTCACACCAAGAGATGGTTTATAACTTCTGCACCATATTCATTTGTATTGTTATACAGACATGAAATCAACTTTTGTAAGACAGAAGTGTCATGAAGCCGCTTTCTTTCTTCCAAAGTGGGGGAAGAATGGGAAGACAAAGAATGAGAAAGGGCATGAGAATCTTGCAGGAAAGGTAACATGAGAAAATGTAATTGTGAGGACGAGAGTGAGGGAGGGTGCTTTTGTCAGCAAATAGTGAAATGCTGGAAATGAGGTACTGCTTTGCTGCCATTAACAGAAGCATTCAGACCAGAGCCAAGCTTAATCAGGGTACCTAAATATATGTCCTGATCAACCAGGAATGAGTTTATTAGCCCATGCTTCTGTAGGTGTTCAATGAATTCTAACCCATCACACAAACCAAAGTTGCAGAGAACTTTAAAAATGCTGCCTAATTCGAAGAGAAGGGTAGGGTCCCACACACAAACCCTTCTTCCAGTTGCCCACCTATGCATCTCTCTGCATAGTATGCTGATAATCATAAATCCCAAGCAACAGGCAGTTGGATGTCTCCAATCAAGGTAGAGAGACTCAGAATAAATAACTCTTCCTTTGGAATCCCACTTACAGGTATACATGCCTAAACTCTAGATGAGACAATGCACAACACTGTGATGCCAAAATGCTTTTTTAAATCTGGCACTGAATGCAGAGCTGATGTTTCGGTATCACATGGACTTGAAAAGCACTATGCTGATTGACGCTAGCCAAATATCTACCCCACATTTTAGTAGAAGAGTAATACATTGTTTAATCATCAAAAAAGGAACATGCATGTGTACACACACACAAATATGCACACATGGCAAATTCTTGTTTATCTTCAATTCTCAAATAGCACGCGCTCTATCAAAAAAACTGCCATTTTTCTCCCTTTATCTTTATTTTTTTGATCAGCGCTCTTGCAACATCCCCCTCTCTTCTGATTTTCTTAGGAGTTGTGCAGTATTTGTCATTTACTTCAAGCCTCAGCTCATAGAGTTGAACAATGACGTGAGGATCTCTCTCTTTATTAAATAAATACATAAAATTATCTTAATCATCATTGATGTAAAGAAATTTGAACATTAAAGGCTTAGAAACCAAAAGGCAAATAAAAGGAAATCAACCTTTTGCTTCCACACCCTCGGTGCTGCAACATGACAATTTTGAAGCCAGGCTTACATTGTTTTGAGAGAC